AAAATGAATATGCTTCAGAGCATAAAATTAGTGTCTAATGAAAGCATCTTTGTGAACACAATGCTGGATTATTTTATTTGTTTATGTTAAATTATGTCATTTATCAATGTGTTGTTAGATGGCTTATGCTTATTCAAATCACGTAGCTTCTAGGTATAAAATTAACATTAGATTCCCTATGCCAAAAAGCCTAACTTAAACTTTCTAGTTTCAGGAAAAAAAATAAATATAACTTTTCAATTCAATCTATTTCTTTTCTATAACTTCAAGTGATGTTTAAAATTCAGTGCATTACAAAATTATTTAAAAATGTGCTTTGAAACCTTGAGGCTGGCTCCTTAGTTATTATTCAGATTGCATGTTCCCTCTTATAAGTTTACTAACTTCTTCTATCATTAGGAAATTGTCAATGATGTTAGGCATTTCTCTTCTACCCCTCTGCTATTATTTCACCCAGAATAGACTGAGTAGGGCATGTGCAGCCACTCCAGCTTCCACCCATTTTTTATCAACTATTTTCCTAACTAAAAACAGATTTTATATGCCAGTTTTTTACAACTCTTGTTATCCTATTCAGATTTTCTACCACTTATTTATTACCTTGTTTTATTTTGAATATTGCCCCTCCTTCATCATTTTTTTCTATTATGGGATATATATATGTATACATATATATACTTGTGATGCTTCCTCTACATTCTTGCATAGGTGGAGAGAATGCTCAATAACTATTTGTTAACAATAAATTTGCCTATACTTTGATTTTTCTTTTTTTTTTAGAGGGAGTTTCACTCTTGTTGCCCAGGCTAGAATGCGATGGCATGATCTCGGCTCACTGAAACCTCTGCCTCCTGGGTTCAAGCGATTCTCCTGCCTCAGCCTCCCAAGTAGCTAGGATTACAGGCATGTGCAAACACACCCAGCTAATTTTGTATTTTTAGTAGAGATGGGGTTTCTCCATGTTGGTCAGGCTGGTCTTGAACTCCTGACCTCCGGTGGTCTCAAACTCCTGACCTCAGGTGATCCACCAGCCTCGGCCTCCCAAAGAGCTGGGATTACAGACGTGAGCCACTGCGCCTGGCCTACTTTGAATATCTTTATAAGATGACTTTGTTTGGCTAAAACTAAGGTTATGTTCCACAAAATTCGAATCAAACTTACATGTAGATAGACTTAATGTCCAGCAAAAATAGAGGGGATTCATCATTACATATTAATTCCTACCTTTGACTTTTTAATTCATCACAGGGAGCTTAAATGTTAGTTGGGTCAAACTATGTCATGAATTAGAAAGTCTAATTGTCATGAATAATTCCATAAATTTCGGATAGTCTTCCAATATGACATATGAAAGAATACTATTTTTCTTAAAAATAACACTGAGGTGAAGCCCATCTTTTTGCAATGATAAAATTCCATTGTAAGTATGCAAATTCAACCCATCCAAAATATCTACTTAAAATTTTTATATCCTCTCTTCATATTCTCAAAATATTAATAGTAAGTATCTGTTATGATTTACTATTAGTTAATTTTGCAACACTTTGAGGTCAGTTTAGAGATGGTAACTTAGGCCAATATTTAATACAACTCCATACATACTCATCATAACTTAAATAATTGTCAAGTTACCAAGTTTATAGCATAGGAATTTGATTTCTTTTATTCAAAAAAGAAAACATCAATAAAATATAAATAGATTGTCTATGAATTGTATAATCAGTTAATGTGTTTAGCCAATAGTTGCTGAATCCTGTATTATATTCAAGTGCTATGTAATCAGATAGAAAGAAAATATATGATCATTAAGAAATGCATATTCTAGAGAAGATAACATTAATTATAAAGAAAAAATATTTTCTGAATAGAGTTGCAATGAGAGATAAAGAAAGATAGGGAAGATAGCTTAAGAATTAATAATATGAGTCAAGAATTAAAGAATGAATTGTAGTTTTCTTAGGCCCAAGAAAGAAAAAAATATTTGAGAAAAATTCACTGGTATACGCAAATCAATAAAGACTTAGCATATGCCAAGAAATAAAATAGTTAAGAAACTGTACTCATCCAGAACCTTGTTATTTGTTCATTTTGTGTTTTCGGGAGGAAAGCTGTTGTATAATATGGGAAAATGTTGGGAATTTAAACTAAAGAGAAAGATACAAGTCTTTAATGTGATGCAAAATAATTTAGAATGTATCCAGTAAAACATGCTTAGTTTCTGAAAATATCCAAGTCAGATGTCCATATCTGTTTGCTATAAAGATCACTCTAGTTGGGAGCATTGATGATTAACTTGAAAGTAGCTAGCCTAAAAGCACCAACTTCCTGGTAGTCTATTTATAGGTCTTGGAACTGTTAATCCAGTCTTGGAAAGGGCTGATGAAAGTTTGCATTATGCCAGTGTGAATGCTATTGAAGAAAAAGGCATATATAGAAGTTGATTAGATGGTAGAAGAAATAGAATGAGTGACCAGATGTTTATCCAATTGGCCATTATATTCCAGTGTTGGAAGTGAATCTGCAGGAAGATTTCCGGGTAATTATCAAATATCTGTTAAGCCCTTAGGTTTTAAGAGTTAATGTAACCTCTGATAAACAATGTTCACAGAAAGTGGGGAAGAAGGGTCCAAATTACAGTTTATTTACCCTCTCAAACCACCTGAACAACTCCTTTCAGAAAATTGTATAAATCAGAGTAAGTAAAAATAACACATATTTCTGAATACCTTTTCCCACATATAAATATTTTCAAATGTTAGCCTTTCCATAAACCTGAGATATAAGTATTCCTCTCATGTTATAGTTGAGATGTGTTTGTCTTTTAGCTATTGGGTATTAAGAAATATCCCCAAACTCATACTAATATTGCAAAAATAATACAATACTGTATAATTATATC